CTCCCCCGCCCCCTCGTGTCAGGGGCACCGTGGATCTGCAGCAGCAGTGCCATCTCCAGGTCCCGGTGAAGAGGACACCCTGTGGGTGTGCGGGCTCTGACCCTAAGGAAGGAGCCCACTCGGGGGAGGAAGCTACCTCCAACCCCTGGGCAAGGGACATAAGAGGGGGGACTGGAGGGGTCTTGGTAACCAAGCTTTAAGGTGGGCGGACTCTGAACATCACCTCGGAAGCAGTTACAGAGAGAGGGGTGGGCAGCGGAAGACATGGCTAGGAGTTGCAGAGGCAGGAGGCCGAGAGCCCCTGGTCTCTAAGCTCGAGATCAGAGAGGATGGGAGGAAGCAAATCTTCAGACCCCGGAATTCCGAGTCAGAGAGGGGGTGAGGGTTCATGAAGACTTATTCCCTGGGGCAGGTGGGGGGGCGGGGGAGTGGTGAACAGGGACCCAGGTGAGTCTTTTTCCCAACCCGCCCGTTTCCCTGGCCAGTTCTGGAAGCCGGGGGCTCCTCCCCGAGAGGAGATGGTGGATGAGGAGTATGAGGACGAGCTGGACCTGCAGCGCTCAGGCTCCTACTTCAACAGCAGCACCGTCTCAGCCTGGAGCGAGCGCAGCCTGGACCCTGGAGACATTCGGGTAGGCGCCGCCCTTCCGCCCTCTCCACCTTCCTTTGGTGCTAGCTTCCAGGGACCCGGCAGGGAGCGCTGCTGCCCTGCTCCTAGCTTTCCAAGACTTGCCTCCCTCCTTCTCTACCACTGCCCTGAGCTACTTCCCTGACTCTATTTAAAGTTGGAGGCAGAGCTGTGAGTGGAGCTCTCATCCCAGGTCCCCCAGCAGCAGGGGCATCACAGGGGCAGTGGGGGACTCTAGTCAGTTGGGGCCGGGCAGGTCAGATAGCTACCGAGGGTCCCCTTTCCCTGAACCTGGCTCTTAGAGAAGGAAGTTCTTCCTGAGTCTCCCAGGAGCGCATCCGTACTCTCACTCTTCTGCTTAGGGATAGCATTACAGTCATGAGGGGCTCAGTGGGCAGGAAATAAGGAGACCTGGCGGACTAAGCCCATTGTCTTATAAAACGTAAAGTGTGGGGAACCCTCACTAGCCATTCTGCCCATCCCTCCGCCTCCACTGGGGCCCGCCTCTACACCGGCTTGTTTTCATCTCCCAATTCCTTCCCGTCCCAACTGCCTCTGCCTCTCATTCCCCCTTGTGTCCCCCACACCCTCTGGGCTCTGCCTGCCCGGCCTCCAGCCTGCGGGGAGAGGCTGAGCTGAGACCCCAATCCTGCAGGGACCCCAGAGAGTGTGGAGGCCACAGCCACAGCCACGGCCACACCACCCCTGGTCTCCACTTTGCGGAGCAGCAACCAATCTACTCTCCCTATGCTGGCTCTGGGGAGAATGATCCAAAGTATAAAAGACTTTCAAGGCCCCACTGTATCATTTACACCTGAATATGGCACTTTTCATACCCTCTAGTCCAGGGATGGGCAAACTTTTTGACTCGAGGGCCACAATGGGTTCTTAAACTGGACCGGAGGGCCGGAACAAAAGCATGGATGGAGTGTTTGTGTGAACTAATATAAATTCAAAGTAAACATCATTACATAAAAGGGTATGGTCTTTTTTTTTTTTTTAGTTTTATTCATTTCAAACGGGCCGGATCCAGCCCGCGGGCCGTAGTTTGCCCACGGCTGCTCTAGTCCCTCAATCTCACATAATCCTTCTAAGGAAGCTAACATCAGGCAGCCAGTTATTGTTATTTTATAGAAGCAGAGGCTCAGAGAGGTCAAGAAAACACCCTCAAGGGGCATGATAAGTCAGCAGCCTGAAACTCAGGTTTCCTGCCCGCCTCAGACAAGAGTGCCCAGGGAAGTGAGTACACACTGCGTCCTCGGAGCTGAGTGGGTCCGGCTGGGAACCAGGCTGGTGCTGGTCTTGCAGAAATGGAGTGGTGACTTCTGAGAGGTTTATTTTATTTTTATTGATTTCAGAGAGGAAGAGATAGAAACATCAATGATGAGAGAGAATCATTGATTGGCTGCCTCCTGCACCCCCCCTACTGGGGATCGAGCCCAAAGCCCAGGGATTTGTCCAGACCCAGAATTGAACCTTGACCTCCTGGTTCATAGGTTAATGCTCAACCACTGAGCCATGCTGGCTGGGCTGAGAGGATTATTTATTTTTGGTTTATCCTCACCTGAGGATATTTTTCCATTGATTTTTAGAGTGAGTGGAAAGGAGGGGGAGAGACGGAGAGAGAGAAACATTGATGTGAGAGAGACACATCAATTGGTTGCCTCCCGCATGCACCCCAACCAGGACTGCGATGAAGCCTGCAACCGAGGTACATGCCCTTGACTAGAATCGAACCCAGGGCCCTTCAGTCCATGGGCTGACGCTCTATCCACTGAGCCAAACCGGCTAGGCCCTGAGATGTTTAAAGCAAGGAAGGGACACAGCTTGGGGGGAAGCGACTCGCCCAGAGAAAATGGTCTAAATAAGGGCTGAGGAGGGTAACAGTGCAGCCAGTGGATGGAGAGACTAGCCCGCCGGTCCCCATGTCAGCTCTGCTCTCCTGGTCCTCTCTTCCCCCAGGATGAGCTGAAGAAGCTCTACGCCCAGCTAGAGGTCCACAAGACCAAGGAAATGGCTGCTAACAACCCCCACCTGCCCAAGAAGCGGGGCAACGCGTGCCCGGGCCTGGGCCGCTCCTTCGTGAGGTACCTGGCTGAGTTCCCCGAGGCCCTGGCCCGGCAGCACTCCCGGGACTCAGGCTCCCCAGGCCGCAGCAGCCTGCCCAGCTCCTCCCGCCGCAGGCTCCTCAGCTCCAGCCTCCAAGAACCCGAGGGGCCAGGGGCCCTGCGCAAGTCCCGCAGCACCTACGACCACAACCACTGCGGGGAGCAGGACCCACCCCTCCTCGACTCACTGCTGAGGAGGAAGCTGGCCAAGAGGGCCTCCCGGGCAGAGAGCCGGGAGTTGGCAGAGGGGCCTCCTGCCCTGGGCTTTAGGTCGGCCAGTGCCCACAACCTGACGGTGGGAGAGAGGCTCCCCAGAGCCCGGCCTGCCTCCCTGCATAAGTCGCTCAGCGTCATGGCTGGCTCCGGGGAAAAGGCCCTGCTGGTGGCCAGCCAGGCCTATCTGGAGGAGACCTACCGGCAGGCAAAGGAACGAGAGGAGAGGAAGAAGGCAGAGGCGAGCCCAGTTCGGAGGCCATCGGCCAGGAGGCTGGAGGGAGCCCGAGGGGCCCCTCTGTCAGCCCCACCTTCCCCTGCCAAGAGCAGCGGCAGCATGGACAGCTCCTATGCCCCTGGGAAGCTTCAGGGGGCGGCTGCCCGAAGGCTGCCTCACCCCCCCATCCAGCACCAGGTCTCCACGCCCATCATGGCCCTGTCTGGGGCCTGCGGGGGAGAGCCAAGGATGCTGTCTCCCACTTCCGCCTTGGCTCCAGCTCTCATACCAGGTCCAGCCCCGGTTCTGGCTCCAGGCTCTGCCCTGGCGGCAGTCCCAATACTCGCCCAAAGCCCCAGCTTACTCACCTTCATCTGCCCTTGGGAGAATGCAGAGCTGCCAGTCAAGAAAGACAACGTGGCTCAGGAAGGCCCCTCAGGCCCAGAGCGAGGCCACCACTCCCCTGCCCCAGCTCGGGCCAGGCTCTGGAGGGCCCTCTCTGTAGCAGTAGAGAAAAAGGGTGCTGGGGAGAATGGGATGGACACGGAGGACAGGCATCTCCAGGGGGAAGCTGATGATGTGGACGAGGACAGGCCCAAGATCTTTTCCAAATCCCACAGCCTCAAGACCCCTGTCCAGCAGGGTTCCGTGCGCAGCCTGGGCCTGGCTATCAAAGCTCTGACCCGTTCCCGGAGCACACACAGGGAAAGGGGGAGGGGGGAAGGGAGTCCTGAGAAGGACAAGGGCCGAGCTTCAGTAGAGGGGGTGGGGGCATGCCCCAGGTCCCCCAGGCTGGGCGGGCGCAAGGTGGTGAGTAAGCAGGCGGCCCTCGCCCCCTGCGAAGATGAGGAGTCCCTCCAGAACCAACAGAATGCACACACCAGCAGAATGCTCCACGTCTGTCACCAGGAGGGCAGCAAGGAACAAGAAGACAGAGGCAGGAGGACAGCTCAGGGCCAAGGGGAGGGGGGTGTGGAGAGAGCAGGTGGAACAGGGCCTGCCACACGGGGGCAAGTCAGGCAGGGCACCGTTGGGAACAAAAGTGCTGAGCAAGCAAGAGAAGCCCCTGCAGGGAGGCAGGAGCTGCCCAGAGCCGGCCTCCAGCCCCTGGGCAGTGCTGGCTGCAGGGTGGCGGAGGTTTGCCCCTGGGAAGTCCCCGAGTCAGACACAAGTCTGCCTGACAGCAACAAGGCTGAAATCTGCCCCTGGGAGGTGAGCGGAGGCCCGGAGAGGGGGGCATTAAGACAAGATCTGGCTGACTCCCGAGGAGGGAGGGGGAAAGCCCCAGAAGAATCCGAGCCTAAAGGTGTGGCTGCCCTGGCTCGGAAGAAGCCAGAGAGGCTGGTCAGGGGGCAGGAGGCAGTGTGTCCCTGGGAGGATGCCCATCCCAGGGACCTGTCCCCTCAGGACTCTGAGAGAACCGAGGGCAGGTCTGAGGCAGGGGGCAGTATGGAGGCTAAAGAGGTGGAAAAGTGTCCGCAGGAAGTCACAGGCCCAGAAGCGCGTGCACCTGACATGGCCAAGGCAGAGCTCTGTCCCTGGGAGGCAAGGGGAGGAGGAGAGAACGAGAAACCATCTCAGGAGGGAGTGAAGAAGCTCTCCCAGGAAAAGCAGAAAAGTCCCAAGAAAGCAGCCTCCGGGAAAGAACAGAAACTGGGCAGAGACCTGGAGTCTCTCTGCTCGTGGGAGAGGACTGATTTCCGTGGCCCCTTAGCAATTGCGACGGAGGCCCCAGGAACTCCCGGGTGCTTGGGGAGCGTTGCGGAGGTGTGTCCCTGGGAGGCAGGAGAGGCTCCTGCGATCAGGAAAGCAGAGATTTGTCCCTGGGAGCTGGGTGATGAGGACGTGGGGAAGGAAATGCTACGTCAGGGGACCGGTGGAGACTCTGCCCAAGAAGAGGGTCAAGCCTCCAGAAACGGGCTCTTTGGGGAGGTAGGGGGACAGACTGGGAAAGCAGTGCAGACATCCGGTCCACAGCAGGAGTCGCTGTGTCCCGGGGAGAGCACAGCCCCTGGGCACTCCAGCCCATGTCTGGACAATTCCTCCTCCAGAGCTGGTGGCCAACTCCCCAGCAAGGGAGGAAGCAGAGCCACGCAGCTGTGCCCACGGGAAGACCTCGAGCCAGAGGGAAAGGCAGTACCACCTGCCAAGGCAGAAATCTGTCCCTGGGAGGTAAGTGAAGCAACAGAGGACTGGACATCAGGACAGGCACCCAGAGGAGGAGAATCTCAAAAGGACAAGGAGCAAATGCCTGAAACACCAGGAATCAAAGAGGTCACCGCGTGGGAGAAGCCTGAGGGACAGCTCCAAAAGCGGGAAGTAGTCTGTCCTTGGGAGGGTGTGGACCCTGGCAGATTCCACCCACAACCGGGTCCTCAAGACACAGACAGACCCAAAGCCGGTTTCCAGGTGTCAGGCGGTGTGGGAAGCAAAACTGCCGAAATCTGCCCGTGGGACGTGGAGGACACCCTGTCTGCTGAGAAGGCAGAGATCTGTCCCTGGGAGGTGAGCGCTGGAGCAGGGGAGGAGCAAGCTCTGGGAGGTGAGGCCATTAGGAAACTGCCAAGCATTACAGGAAAGGGTTCTGCAGATCCTGGGCCTGGTGAGGTAGCTCTTACTGCTCCAAAGAAGCCAGAGAGGCCAGCTGGGGAGCAGGAGGTGGCCTGTCCCCGGGCAAGCCTGGATCCAGGCAGCTCCTCTCAGCATTCAGACCCTGTGGATACTGACAGACCAAAAGCTGGATTCCAGGAACTGGATCATGTGGGGAGCAGGCCAGCTGAGGTGTGTCCCTGGGAAGTAGAGGAAGCATCCACCAATGACAGAGCCAAGATCTGTCCCTGGGGAATGAATGGAGGAGCTACTGGGAAGGGACTGGAACGAGAGATGGGGAGTGATTTAGCAGAGCAGAGGGAGAAAACTCCAGAAAGGGGGAGACTCACCTCCCTGCAAGAAGACAAATCAAAAAGAGAGACAAAACTGAGTCAAGAGCAAGAAGCTACTTGTCCTTGGGAGAAGGACCTGAGGGACCCCTCTGCTCAGGCCCCGAAGGCCTCAGACTCAGCCAGCAGCATGAGTAGGGGGGTGGCGGAGGAGCATGCCCTGGAAGTCAATGAGGAGGTAGCGGAGAAAGGAGACCTGATACAAGACCCCAAAACGGGTTCCCTCCAAGCACTCCTAACCCAAGGAAAAGCTCCATCTTCAAAGGCAGAAGCCACGACTGAAGGTGGGGAAAAAGCAAACAAGGAGCTACAGTCTATCTGTCCATGGGAGAGCGTGGCCCCGGCCATCTTTTCCTCCAGCCCCGAAAGGCAGTGCCCTGACCAACCGAAAACCGGCTCTCAGAGACTGGTCAGTGTTGGGGGCAGGCACGCTGAGGTGTGCCCCTGGGATGCTCCTGCCTCAAAGGCTCATCAGCCTGACAGCAGCATCAAAGCAGAGGTCTGTCCCTGGGAGGTGGCTGAAAGAATCCCTGAAGAAGGGGTGTCCACACCGAGCGGAAAAGGGGAACCTCAAGAGGAGGGGGAAGCTCCAGAAAAACCAGAAGCTGAAGTTGGGGCAGTTGAGGAAAAGCCAGAGAGGGCAGACAGGAAGCAGGAGGCTGTGTGTCCCTGGGAGAGTCAAGACAGTGGAGGTCTGTCTCCACCACCAGCCCCACAAGCTTCTGACAGGAGCAAAGGCACTTCGGAGGCAGCCGGCAGAGTGGAGGCCAGGCTAGCAGAAGTGTGTCCATGGGAAGCGGTCGAGGTTCCCTCTGCCAAGAGAGCAGAGATCTGCCCTTGGGAGATGAGTACAGCAGCCGCAGAGGAAGAGGGCCCAGAACAGGAGGTGGACAGAGCACCCCAAGGGCAAGGAGAGGTGTTCCTTCAAAAGGCAGGGTCTGGCGGGACTAGAGAACACTTTTCAAAAGCAGCAGCAAAAGGCAGCCGAGAGCAGGAGACAGTCTGCCCCTGGGCAGGCATGGATTCGGGGGGACTCTTCCCCCAGCCAGATGCTCTGGACACTGACCAAGCCCAAGTCAGTCCCCATGGAGCAAGTAGTGTGAGGGGCAGGATGGCAGAGCTGTATCAATGGGAAGTCACAGATCCAGAAGGAAATAAAATAAAGGGCACCATGGCAGACATCTGTCCTTGGGAGGCAACTGGAGCCCCATCTGAGGAGCCTGGCCTCCCGGCTTTAACAGCAACGCAGACAGAAACATTTTCCCCCAGAGGCCCTGAGAACCCACCAGGCCTTTCCATCCAGAGGCCTCTGGGTAGCTTCCTTCCGGAAAGCAAGTGCTCCCGCCCCCAAATGAGCCAGCCAGCCAGCTCTTTTACTCTGGAAGGCGGCACAGAATTCCAAGGGCCTTCAGGGCTCGGGCCAAGAACCAGCTTAGCTCCAGGGCCAACTCTCCAAGAAGCTGCGGCTCAGAATTCTTCTTCCCTAACTGAAGACCAAGGAGAAGTGGCTTCCCAAGATCCACCTGAAGAACTCGTCCCTCCAACTGTCTATCCTTGGGATTGGGAGTAACAATTCCGTTTAAACTCGTGTGAGGTCAAACATCGGGTGGCTGGCTTTCAGGAGCCAAAGTCCTGTTCAAGTCCTAGGTGTCCCCGAAGAGCTGAAACAAAGACCCTTGATCACCCCTTTCCAGGAAAGCCAGAAGTCAATTCACTCAAAGACAAATTGTACAGGAAGGGTGCAGCTCAAATCCCTACAGGAAGTTGTACCCTCTCTTTATCTCCAATTCTTCCTCCTGTAGCGAACAAAGGCCAGACCCTCTGCTCCTAATGAATCCTCCTTTCCAGCTAGAGTACGCAACACAAGCCATCTGTGTGTAGACACTCACTTGAAAGCCAAGGTTAGGGATGAAAGGAAATCAGTAGTGCCCGCCCACATTTTCTCATGGGGAGACCCTAGTCTTCTCTGAAGTCTACAAAGGACCTTTTTGTTTTAAAGAAGAAACGAAACCAAACAAGGTGCTGACTGTACAGGGGCTGAGGGTTACAGAAGGCTATCCAGGTCACCATAGGAAGCTTAAGAAGCCACTTAATTGAAGTTCAAAGATAAATAAGAGGAAAAACCTAAATGGCTCAAAGGAGGTGCCTGAAAGGCCTTAAGACCTTGTCATTTTGACTTTGGATCTCCAGTTTCGGCTTAATCGATCTTCAGACCTGCCTTGTTTACTAACGAAGCAGAGCCAACCGAGCACTCTTACATCCATATCATTTGCCATCCAAAGCAATATCAGAGATGGAGCAGAGAAGGAAAGGCAATAGCTCCAGGTCCTCCCCATGTGGGCCAAGGTCGAGTTCTCCCTTCTAGACACCGTGTCTCCCAGGTTAGCTTTTTCAGATGGCCCCTTCTTCCTGCCCCATCTTTTGCCAGTCTAGAGTTCATCTCACTGGCTCATTCTCCCTCTCCTAGCCTTTCAGTGCTGTCATCAAAGGGACCCCTCTCTGTTGTCAATGCAACTGGAGCCAGAGGGAGTCTCTGGTTCTGATGCAAGAACCACTCCAAATCACTTGCTCAGTAACAAGAGGCCCACATCAGTCTCCTTCCTGAGAAGCCTGAGAAAGAAAGGAGGTCCTGTTTGCAGCCAGCACTATAAACTGCCCCCAGAAAGAGTAGTGCTACAGAGGAGGTGAGAGGCCTGAGGGCTGGGGAAAGGGCATCGTGTAAATACAAAGCCTTCTTTCTTAGGGAGCTCTCTTGTTCTTAGCTCAGCTCTATTCTCTTAAGTCAGTTCAGGCTCCTCTTTCTTAAGCAATCCTAGATAACAGAGTGCTGGAATTAGATGATACTACCAGAGGGAAATGAGGAAAGAGAAAAACATTGGTCAAAGAAGTCCCAGGATTGGCAGTGGTGAGTGAGGGTAGAAACATGCAGGCTAAACATGGCAGAACTGGGCAATGTTAACTAAACAGATACTGATACCATTCACAAGGAGGAAAGGCAAAATAAGACCAAATACCCAACGGGGAAGAAATGAGTCTGCATGTGAATACTCTGGGCAGATACAGCAAGTCACAGAAAAAGTAGCTACATTTCCAAAAAGGAGGAAAATGAATGGAGTAACCCACATTTTAGGAACTAAATACCCTAGTTCTCCTATCTACAGAAGTATTTGATGTGTGTTGTTGCTCTGGGCTCTGGCTGGTTAACCCCACAGCTTCTGAACCAATGCATATTTTGCTAACTGCGCACCTCAGAACAATCCCATTGGGTCTGGTCTAGCTGGGAACAAAAATATTGTCTCTATACCCACTGCTGTGAAATAAACCATATAGAAAAAAATAAAGAATGCTTTTCCTTGGCAGTTGGTTGTAGCTTTATTCATTATGGTGGTTTTCTTTTTTCAATGTTTTTAAACAAGAAAAGGAATTAAATCAATGCCTGCTCTAAAGCCCAAGGTAACAACACTGCAGCCTTCAGGACTTCCACTCTGTGGCTGGCACTGCAGATGGGCTCTGCCTGGTCTTTCTAGCCAATCCTTCACATCTGGGCCATTCGCTCATCTGGATTTGATCCCAAGGGGAAATGAAAACTGCACTTATCCTCTGGCTCCCTGTGGCAGCTACTGCTTAGCTGCTGTTTAGGATTATCTAGAGACCCCGGAGACAGATCTGGGGAGTGGGGTGAAATAGCTTATTTAAAGCACTGTTTTCGCATATTCAGAGAATCAATGTATCATTTGCCCAGTAAGTGTGCTTTGTTTCTCTGCTTCCCTACCCAACCTGGGTTACCTCCCCTTATTCCTCCTGGCTGTGGATCCTGCTCAAAGCACTTCCCATCTCATTTTGCCTTAATCTGGGGATCACACAAATAGGATATGACCAAACCTTACATGGGCTGCAAAATGATGTACATTTTAAGCCAAAGAGGTTGAAACTAAGTAGCATGATGAGAGTGGCTGTTTTGGATTAACCCATCAATGCTGCCTCTTCCCTAAGCCTCCACATCTTGTTTCCATAGCCAGCACTCAGCAGCTGTTGCAAAAACAACCATCTTCCCCGGTGAGGCGTGGTCGGTTTGCTGCTTTGCTGAGACGGTAGCGTTAGAAGGACTGAGGAGTTAGATTATTCTCAACCGATTCCAGTTTATTTGGATTCTACTCTCAGGTCAAGGTCAGAACAGATTAATCCTTACCCTAACTTACAGACTCCTTAAAAGAAAATTCTAGGCTTGAAAAATACAAAGTATGAGAATTAAGGTCCTGTTTTTCCAGGGAAGGCCACACTGGGCTGACGAAGCAATAGTACTATAAGCCAAGCTTGCTGCTGGGTACAGACTGATTTCCCTTGTCATTAACTTCCAACGACACAGGACACCTGGGCAGTCCCACTTCTTCCTCCTGACAGTCCAGCTGGAGCTAAGGAACAAGAAGGGGCTGGGTTGTTTCACTCTACACAGGCCCATAGTCTGGTGCCTTTGCTTTCCCAGGGTTGGGCTGAAAATAGTCGCCTACTCTAAAAGGCGATCAAAGTCAGGGAACCACGTTTTACAGATGGACTACCCCAATGTACGAACTTCCCCCACGCTTCCTGGGATCATACCAGGGCACAGCTGATAATTAGGAACACGTTCCAAAGGCTGAGAAATGATTTCTTTGGATTTACATTCTTCTGTGAAATACGAATGCTGATTCAGTGAGTCAGTGTATGAGAAAAGATCCTCTTAAATGATACCATCTCTTATAAACACTAATTATTTTTCCCAAGTCTGGATTTCCTGGAAGTCACATCACTCACAATTAAGCCTGTTTTCCATTACTGCCATTTGAAGGCTGGTCTACTTCTAGCCTGAACCAGGGAATATGGACAGAACCAACCACAATTGATCCAACACTGCAGGAGTGTTTTATTTCAAACTCTGATCCCTGTCCTGTGGTGAGAAAGAAAATTCTGCCAGTTTGCTCCCGACAGTCCCTGCTGCAGGAAAAACTGGTGTCAGGCGTTCTCTGAAACATAGTGTCTTTCATCTGGACCCAGAAGGTAGTACAACTTAAAAGAAGTGGGTCCAGGGCTATGCATAACAGCCACCCACCTGGGCCCGGCCATCAGCTGTGGTTATCGAGGAAGAGACTGCTGTAATGACCGCAGCAGAACAGGAGAGAACAAAGATGGTTCTTTCTGCAGCGTGATGGAGATGGGCGACTTCACAGCTCCAGCCACCTCATCGCCCATACTTCACCCCAGGAGTCATTTTTGCCCTCAGGCTAGCTGAGACTTATGGGCCTCTCCTTGTGGCTCTTCATAGTCTTCCCCTGGTTTCAGCTGGGGGCCAGGGATCATCACCGTCTGAAAAGCAGGAAGCTGAGTTATCTATCATCCAAGCCCCAGGCTCACCCACTCACCTTCATGCCCACCCCTTCCCTGGTGCTGCATCACCCCCTCTCTCCACGAGGGGGCGCCTAACAGGACTGACAGGATACCACTACTATGGCCTCAGCTCTTTTAAATCTCACAAGCTGCCTTACCTTAAGGATAGGCTGCTTGGGGGGCGCCCATGCAGGCACGATCTTGCCGTGCATTCTCCAGCTTCCATAGGGGTTTGTCAGGTGCTTTTCAAAAACAACATACTCCAGGACATCTTTGGGCACATCTTCCTGTCCGTACATCAGTCGGCCAAACCGGTCATAGATGGCCAAAGTCTGCAAGGATGAAAGCAAGTCTGGCCAGTTAATCCTCAGAACTGTTGTGTCTGGTTTTTTTTGCACACAACCATTTAAAAGACAACCATGCCGAAACCGGTTTGGCTCAGTGGATAGAGCGTCGGTCTGTGGACTGAAAGGTCCCAGGTTCGATTCCGGTCAAGGGCATGTACCTGGGTTGCGGGCACATCCCCAGTAGGAGATGTGCAGGAGGCAGCTGATCGATGTTTCTCTCTCATTGATGTTTCTAGCCTCAGCTCTTTTAAATCTCACAAGCTGCCTTACCTTAAGGATAGGCTGCTTGGGGGGCGCCCATGCAGGCACGATCTTGCCGTGCATTCTCCAGCTTCCATAGGGGTTTGTCAGGTGCTTTTCAAAAACAACATACTCCAGGACATCTTTGGGCACATCTTCCTGTCCGTACATCAGTCGGCCAAACCGGTCATAGATGGCCAAAGTCTGCAAGGATGAAAGCAAGTCTGGCCAGTTAATCCTCAGAACTGTTGTGTCTGGTTTTGTTTTTTTGCACACAACCATTTAAAAGACAACCATAACAAAACATTTTAATGGGTAGAAAAATTATCTCAGAATTCTGAATCTAGATTAACTGATCAACTATTAACACTTTACTTTTAGAAGTATTTTTGACTGGGGAGGGGAGGAGGGAGGAAGTTGAGACTAGGAAGGGTGGGAGAGAATATCCTTGCATCTGTCCTCGTAGAGCTAACTTCCAGCAGTAGGAAGGGTGTAGGGAAAGGGCAGGGAAGACCACAGTAAGCCTTTCCTTAGAACCCATAGTCCTGGGGAGCTGTGGCCATAATTCCAGAGGTAGGTGCCCAACCTGAGTGAAGAAAAGCAGCTGGGAGGAAAGCAGACTGGTGACTCTACCTGCCGGGTATGCATGCGGACGGTGACCTGGCCATATACATTGCCCTGGTTCACCATACTTGAACAGCGAACCTGAACCACTTGGGCTGGCTCTAAAGACTCTACGAAGCTCCAGCGGACGGTCTTATATTGGAGGTCCCAGACCATGTCCTGAAGGCAGAAGAGAACAAGTTCTACTGAGTTTTTCCCTCCTTTTAGGAAAGCTCGTGCTTCCTTCCACACCTGCTCTCTCTTCTTGCAATATTTCAACCAACATGCAACATTTCCCACCAAATGCTTTCTTTTCAACCATCCCAAGTTCTCATTGAACTATTGCTCAAGTCCACCTCACAACAACCCTCTTTTCATTTAAATCACAACTCAAGACCAACCTACCTCCTTGAGGACCTGTCTCCAAATCAATGAAAACCACACTCCAAACTGACAGCTTGATTTTTTCCCTTTTTTATTGAGTTTATTGGGGTGATATTCATTAATAAAATTATATAGGTTTCAGGTGTTCAATTCTATAATACATCATCTGAATATTACATTGTGTGTTCACCACCCAACCTCCCATACACTTTCATATTCTGGTAATTATTGCATGTACTGCTGCTGATTGCATATAGGTTGTCCCCCTCCCCCTTTTAGCAGGGAAGAGTGGGATTTTACAGGGATATAAAATCCTACTCTGCTGAGACTTGGTTAGCTATCCCTGTCCCTAGGGAGATAAGGCCGAACTGATAGAACTGAAGTTCTTATTCCTGAATCACAAAGTCCCCCTCCTTGGGGGTCTTCCAAAGTACCTAGCACCCCTGTTACCACACAATGTAAGCCTTGTGAATGCTCATTAAATCCTTTTTATAGTGTATGCAAGTGTAGGCTGGCCTACTGTGGCCCACACCCTGAGCTCAAGATCCACACCTAAGGTTTCAGTAGTGCTTGTTGAGGGACTTTCTCCTTCCTCATTTGCATGGCCCTTACCAAAGTCCACATCAAGTCATTATCATTCAGGCAAAAACAATGGAACTTCAGCTTTTGCGTTAAACTTCCTGCATTTTCAAAACTGATCTTACTTAAGAAAACCAAAGGTGATGTCTACAATATGCCCATTCAGCATCCCACAATTCTAAGGCCGAGAACCTACCGGAAAACAGTTTTCAGTTGCCAAGGTATGAAGTCGGTCATGGTCTGAGCTAAAAAAGAGATACATATCATTGACTCCTGCTTTTATGATACCCTGTATGAAAGTTGAAAATGACCCTGAGAATGAAAAACAATTCATTTTTACAAATATTTTCTTTACTCCTACCATAGGCCAGGTGATATGCTAAGTCCTGGAGACACAAGATGAACAGCAACCTGATTTACCAGAAAATCCTGAGCTCCATAGCCCAGTAAAGTTAGGTCTGAATCTCAGGAGCAGAAAGAAATTTCTCTGAAATTATCATATACATCCTTAAGATGGGCAAGAGACGCTGACATGGGGACTAGTTTTTGTTCTAAGCTGCAACACGGAACAAAACCCAACATAACAACAATCAAAAGCTCATCTTCTCTTCTTACTGCAGACACATCACCAGTACCAACTGGCTGGGCCTTGAATCTTAGACTGTCATCTTTGAACCTCGCCAAAGATAATCATCTATCTTTTCTGGTCCGTGCTCCCCTCCCCCACGCCCATCTTTGTTACTGCCACAGTGTCCTAGTCATGCTGATTCTATGCAGTAAGAGTAAGAAAACAGATAGCAAACCCCAGGCTTTGTACATACAAGATTTTAGGAAGATTCCTAACTGAGGAGTTTCATATAAACCTAAGAGTACAGATTAGTTTCTTTATGTACACATTCACGACTTTCCCTCACAGTTTAATACTTCCTGGGCAGTTTAAGTCTTTATCCCTTTAAAAATTCTTGACTCTAATCCCAGAATGGGTAAGGAATTAGTTCTATCTGCTTCCCTCCCACCTCTATTTCTAAGAGAAAAGATTCCAACTCATTTCTCCTGCTGTAGCTCTAGACTAGACTATGCTGAATTGTGGTGATAGCTACCTCAACCACTCTGTCTGGCACCTCTGAATGAACCCTTCCTCCTCACTATACTGACCTAGAAATCCTCAGTAGAAATAAATTCCCTTTTCTATGAGTTCACTTACTATTTTACAATGGAATTGACACTAAAAAATAAAGACATCTGCTTCTGGTAACATTATGGACTGAACTAATGTAAAACTACACCCACTATAAACATCTAGAAATGTAGGATAGAATATGATACACACAGACACACACACACATTTTTAAATACACTGTCCTAGTTCACTAGAAAGATAGGTAAATCCCTAGACGCCAGAAAGGAAGAGGAACGAACACCAGATGGAAAGAATACAATCTGCTACAACAGCACAAGGGATGACGAAGGGATCCAGAAATAGGGTCTGAAGACTAGGGGCTGGTCTCTTCCTAAAACCTTGGACCCTCCAAAAACAGGGAGTTGGAACTGAAATCCCTGAATAAAGCGATGACCATACGAGTCCTGCACCTGCAGGAAATAGAGACTAGAAAAATAGCCCACCAACCTAGAGATAATGCTTCTCTCTGTCTAGGGCTGTGCGTGGGAGAAAAAATAAAAACAAAGAAACTGAAAAATTAAAGCTCTAAGCCCACATTATACGCAAATGTGGATATGAAATTTATGGTGTAAGAATTCCTAAGCTAAGAAATTAATGTAAAAATTGATACCCTGAGGTATCTGGCAGAAACACACACAAAACCTCTCCATAAAAATTGATACCTGGTCAATGATATCCCTGAGGTATCTGGCAGAAACACACACAAAACCTCTCTGGGAGCATGTTCATAACTTAGGTTGTTTAGGATTTCCTCAGAAGAAACATTCTCCAATGAAGATGAGCTTACAACTAAACATTTCAAAAGGAGACCTGGAATCTACCCAGTAAAAACAACAGACTCAAGACATTAAGCAAAATAATGGAATAGGAAGCTCTAGGGTTGGTCCCTCCATTGAAACAACTGGTAACTTAGAAAAAATGACCAGAACCACCATTTCAGAACTCTGGATTCTGACTGGACACTATAACAACCAGGGGAGTGCCTGCTGAGGGGAGGGGCTAGTGATCTTGGGTAGAAGAACAATATGTGCAAACTATCTATCATCCCTCTTCCCTCAGCCCTATCATGACTGTGGGGATAGTGGCCTGTGTTTCTGCAGTGGATGGCTGGTGCTAGGCAGAGAGTAGGGACTTTGCCCTCCAAAATTTTGGG